CTCCCCTCTCCCTCCCGCCTCTCCATTTCCTCCCTACTCCGTTCCCTCATCTGGGTTCTTCGTAAAAGCTCCCTGGGCATTTTTCGCTTGTTTGTCCGTTCCGTACTTTGGGCTCCGGACAAGCTAAACATCGCGAAAACAACGCTACGAGTTCTTACTGTTTTTTTGAATATGTGTTTCAAGCGTTTTCAGACCCTTCGCTGTGGATATCTATTTTGTTTTGCAGTGGAAATGTATTTTTATAGAGTTTTTATGTAGCTTTCTCGTCAAAGGACGCTCCTTGTCTTCACTGCCGTCTTCGCTCCCGCTCTCCTCTTCCCGCCTTCCCTCCCTCCCGCTCCGCGCGCAGAGCGCAGAGCTAAGAACTCCCCCCAAGCGCCCCAACACCTGTCTAACGCAGGCGCGGAGCAGGCCCAGAGGTCCCGCGACCAGCCAGCAGCGACGACCAGAGAAGAGCAACACTGTTATAATACATATGCAGGGAGGGGTGGACGCAAGGAGAAGGAACTGAGGACGTGGTAGACGGCAATGTGAAACAGCGCAGGCAACTGATCTGGAAACGAAACTAAAACACGGAGGTCAAAACGCAAACCACATTCACATTTTGGTAGCGTTTTTAATTTCCCGGTTGGGGCTTAGAAGGTGAACGGTTGATTTCCACCGCGTCGGTTTAGCCTCAGTAAAGAAAAACCCAGGGCAGATTTAAGAAGAGCCAAGCCCTTCATTCCTCTCCATCCACCTTCCCTTTTACGACAGGTTTGCACAGAGCCGAGACCCAGCGTCGACAGCGGCAGCAGCAGCAGCAGCAGCAGCAGCAGCAGCAGCAGCACATAACAGCTAGGGCTGGTCTGGTGTCGCAGAGGTGCCCCCGCCACTAGGGCTCTGTCCATGGGCGTCCCCCAAGTGTTCAGAATGTTGAATCTCAGTAGAACCCGCCCCCCTCTTCCTCCAATGTGCAAGGCCCACCCTTGCCGATGGCACAGCAGACAATGGGCCACATCCTGTAACTGCCATTTGGATAACAAGGGCTCCCAGTGGCACGCCAGCGGGCGGACGGATCGGGCCTCAACGCAAGAGGCAACCATGGTTATGCGGCTGTCTTGCTGTGTCCTTCGCCATGTGGCTCGAGCGCCATACGTAGCTCGAGCGGCACGCGCGCCGGGCGCCCATGCAGCACGGCGGCGCTGCCGCCCCGTTGGCGCCGGCGCCCGCCACCGCCGAGGATGCGCCCGAGGCGCCCCCGCCGCCCGGAGGGCCGCTGGCGCGGGCGGGCGCCGCCGCCGCCGCGCCACCGGGCGCCCCCGCGCCGCACCCGGCGGCGCCGGAGGGCCTTGGGCGCCTGGCGCCGCGCGGCGCCCCGGCAGCGGCCACGGCCAGCCGGGCGCCGAGCCCGGCCGGGAGCGAGGCAGCAGATTCGCTGGGGCCGAGAGGGGCGGCATCGCCGAGCGGGGCGGCGTCGAGCGGGGCGGCCTCGCCGAGCGGCGCCGCCAAGCGCGCGGACCCCGCGGGGATTCTCCACAGCGCGTCGACGCATTCGACGCTGACGCGTAAGCGCCGGCGGCTGCGGCACGCCGTTGTGCGGATCTTGCGCCTGCTCTTCTTGTGGATGCCGGTGCTGAACGTGGCGCTCATCTTGGCATTCGGGGCGGCGCTGTCCCTGACCCAGGAGCGGCACTTCATAAAGAGCTGCAACGTCATGGCAGCGGCAATCACGGGAGGCGCCATCGTGGATGGCGAGCCCATCCAGAGGCTCGACAGTGTGCTGTCGAAGGCGATGGCAAGTGTCATGGCAGCCTTCGGTATCAGCGTCTTCGGCTTCGTGATTGCTGCGCTGAAGCACTCCGTGATGTGTCCGGTGATGGAGGCGCTGGGCCATTCCCGGGGCTCCCACTCCGCCAGGGGAGCCGCCGTTTGGATGGTGGTCTTCACGATCTCAACTGGGCTGGCGCACCTGGTGATTGCCCTGGCGCTTATGTGGCCGGTTGCCGTGCTGGAGGGCTGGAAGCTGAAGGAGGCCCTGAAGATGACGATTGTGATTGCCACTGGCGGAGGCGTGTTGTTCGAGGAGCTGCCCATCCCGACGGTCACGCCGGACGAAAGGGAAGGGTCGGGAAGGGGCAGGGGGGTACGAAGTCTGCTGCATGGAGCTGTTTTCGGCCCCGCCGTCGGGCCCATTCCTCGATACGTGGGCGCCTCCCAGCGCCAGGAGGCGCCGGGAAAACCAGCTACGTGAGCCGATTCTTTACTCTGGGTTTCTTGATAAGCGTGGGGGGGTACCCCCCCGACGGGTGTCAACCTCGCCTCGTCGTCGCGCCGCGACGGGTCTCGGAGCGCCTTCGGCGCGCGGTGGCCACCCGCGACGGGGGTCGATGTGGGGCTGTCGGCGGGGGTGACGCCCCCACTCGGAGTGCCCTGCCCTTTGCCATCCTACCCTTTCTCCCGCACCGAGAATTATGTTGGGCGTGTCCCCCTACAGGGGATTTTCGACGAAAAAATAAAAATACCCCCAAATATTCCAAAAAAGCAAAAAATATTCAAAAAATAATCCCCAGACTATTTTTGGAGTATTTTTGGGGTATTTTTTATTTTTCGTCGAAAATCCCCTTGTATGGGGGACAGGCCCGACATGAACCGAGAAGGGGGTGCTGACGAACCTGGTGCTGTGGGTCCTCGCGTCCTGGGTGCTCGGCCTCACCGCCTTCACGGTGGCGCTCTTCGGCGGGCCCGCCGCCTCGCTGCTGGAGGCCTCCTGCCGGCCGAGGTCGAGGCTGCCGAGGTGCCTGTCCTCCCTGGTGCTCGAGAGCCGAGGAGCCGCAGACGGCACATCGGCGGCGCGAGCCCGGAGTCGGGTACATAGCCAGGATCCCGGGTGAGGGGGCCGGGTCGGGTGGCAGGGCCCCGGCGCCCTCAGATCAGCCAGAATCGCTTCACAGACCAGGTCTGCCGTGGCTGGTGTTCTCTTCGGGTGACGGCAGTTCCGGTGAGTGGAGCGGGGCGGAGGGGCGTCCCCCAGTACGCATCACGAAACCCAGGTCCCACTAGACCCAGTTTTGCCAACGCCCGACAGGGGAAGCGAGAAGGGGCGGGCCTTCTCAGAAGGCTCGGAAGTCCCCATGGACTGCCGAGAAGGTTTCTGAGAGCCTGCTTCCCCGAAGATGCCGACCACCTCTCAGAGGGCGCGAGGCCTTCTGAGAAGTCCCGCGGCCTTTGACGAGGCCCTCTCCTTGTCGCCCCCCCCCCCCCCCCTCGCATCCGAGGCGGGAATTTATACATGGACCACCGTCTGGAGGATCAATTTTCGGGGGCCTCGCAGGCGGTGGATATTGGTATATTCGGGCCCCCGGGGGCCAAGATATATCCATGTCCACCGCCCGCTGGGGCACCAGGACGTCGTTTCCCAGACGGCGGATACGGATACGTCCCCGCCTCGCATCGCGTGCCGCCGCGCACAAAAAGCATACGCTGCCGGAGCTCCGCCCGGCCTCTTCTTCTTGGCTCGGCGGCGGTCTTGGTCCCCGTGGCGGCGCCCTGGTGCGCCGCGCCTCTGGCGCGCGCCGAGCCGAGAGGCCCGGGCAGAGCCGGCCGCGCCCAGAGGGGCGGCGGGGGGGAGGGGGGGGGGGCTTCTCAGAAGCACCCCTGCTTCTATGGACCGCAGGGTTCCAAAAAGGAGTCTGGGGGGAGGGGGTTTTCCAGAGGGCCCCCCAGTGGCCTCTCGGGACCTCGTCAAGGCAGGGGGTGCGAAGCCCCTGGGGACCCCCTCCTGAAAAAAACCCTCCCCCCAAACCCCCTTGGGAAATCTCCGGTTAGAAGTCACAGGCCTTATCTATAGATGTAAGGCCGGCGCCTTCTAAGAAGTGGCCTCCTTCTAAGAAGCCCTCCCCCTTCCTCCACCCCCTTGTGCGCACCGCCAACAGAGCTCCGAAAGTTAGTGTTTCGTGCCGTTTCTGGGCTCCTTGGGAGAAGACCCTGTCCAAGACACTGCTGCGGCTCCTAGGCTGTTTCTGCGTCTTCATTCCGGCGGCGCTGCTGTTCGCCATGGGCTTCGTCGCGCTGGCGGACATGGCGTGCACCGGCTGGATTTCTTCAGACTGCTTCTGGTCAGCGCTGCCCAACGTCAGCAGCGGAGCGGCAACGGTCTACACAGGGCCGCAGCCGCCCAAGGAGGGCCTGTGGCTGTACGTGCAGACGGTGACGTCCAGCATGGGCTTCTTCGTGCTGAGCGTGGCGCTCTTTATCAGCGAGGACATCTTCGACGTCATCTGGAAGCAGACCGGCGTCAGCGTTCCTGGGAGCCTGGGCGGCGGCGTCGTCCTCCTGATTAGCTTCGCCGCCCTGGGCATCCCCGCTCTCGTCTTCCTGCTCTCGGTCCCGCTCGGCGCGGTGCTCGCGTGGGCCGAGGGCTGGCCCCTCGGGGACGGCTTCTGGTGGTCCGTCTCGGCGCAGCTGGGCGGGGGGCTGTCCATGGTCGACGTCGGCTTCACCGAGCTCGGCAGCAAGCTCGTCGGCACGCTCGCCGCCGCGGGCAGCATTGCGCAGTCGGTGCTGTCGGTGGAGCTCAGCTCGAGGAAGGAGAGGCTGCGCGGGCACAGACTCTGAGAGGTCAGGCGCGGGCTTCTCCGATCTCGGCGCTGGGCCCCCCTCCCCGGGCGCGCGGAGCGCCGCCAGGGGGGCCGAGCGCCGACCCAAGAACTCCGCGCGGAGCTCCAAAAGCTGTTGCTTGCACAGCTCTGTCGTCTCCCTCGATGAGCGGCGCTCCCGCCATCGAGCCGGTCATGGACCTCCTCGGCATGAGCCTCCCACGCCTGGGGGAGATCGAGCTCGACCTGTTCGGCGCCTCCGGCGACGAGGGGCCCCCGGCGCGCGAGCGCAGCGAGTCCTCTGGCCTCTCGTGGGCGTCCACCGGTTCCTCGGACGAGTCGGAGGAGACCAGCAGCTCCAGAAGCTCGCGCGGCGACGAGGGGGGGCTCGCGCAGAGGCCCTCCGCCAGCAGCGCCCGATGACCAGGGGGGGCGTCAACAGGTCTCATCCTCCCTCTCCTCCTCCTCCTCCTCCTCCTCCTCCTCCTCCTCCTCCTCCTCCTCCTCCTCCTCCTCCTCCTCCCCGTTCTTCTCCTTCTCCTAAGGCCGCCCAGGCTCGGGCCCCCTTTGGCCTGGCCTTAGGTGGCCTAGCGCGCCGGCCCCCCAGCCGGCCAGCCACGCTCGCCATAGGCACGGCGGGCAGATTTGCTCCAGAACTTGCCTGGCACAGGCGACAGCGAGCGCGACGCGCTGCTGGCAGGGTGTTGGTCAGGCTAGCACACTCAGACGTTGCATCCGCTCGTAAGCTTGTGGCTCAACATCATTCGGCACATCTTTCTCCTTATGTCAGGTTCGTTGCTGTGCTTCTCCTGCGGTGTCTCCAACTTCGGCGACAGGGACACCTGCCGAGCTTGTTCGACACCGTGGAAATCACCAGCAGCAGCAAGACCACAGCGAGGACCACGGTCACCTCAGCCTACGGAGTCAAGTCGTGCCCGTGGCAAGGGCAAAGGGCTCTCAAGCTCGAAGGGCAAGGGTATCGACAAGGAGTCTTCAAAGAGATTGCCTTCTCGTTCTCCACTCGGGTTTTCAGAGCCGGATCAGGACCAGGACAAAGAGGAGTAGAATCGGGATTCGTCGTTGTCGGCTGTGCCTGCTCTTCCATTAGATGCAAGGGCTTACCCCAGGTGTCTTTAGGAACTTCCAGAAACCGCGTCTTCAGAGGATTGCAGGGCCTTCGTGGCCAAGCGACGTGCCGAACTTCGTACGCTTGCCGGTACGATAAGGATGACGGAGGAAGTTTGTTTTGTTGCGGACGAGGAGAGAGGGTGGTTTGCGGCTGTGCTTACTTCTTTTCACCTCTGTCGCCCGTACGCAGAAGAGGTCGACCGCCAGTCGGCCGCACTTACACGAGCCCGTGCTCGATTGCAGGCTGTTCGGTCCGACATCAAGGCCAAGTACGAGGAGCTCAATGCGCTCGAGAATCGGAGAGACGTAGCTATGCAGTGGGTCAACAGGCACACTGAGGCGCTCGCAGAGCTGCAGGCCAACCCTCCAGAGCATCAACTGGAGACTGACACGGGAGATCACCGTCAACAGGTTTCGAGACCCCCGACGCAGATTTACGCCCCAATGAGGCAATCTCTCTCAAAGCCAGAGTTGGTCCAATCGCCCTTTGCGAAGGCTGCCTCGTCGGATGCCAGCCCTACTTTGACGGCTGCGGTTTCCCTTCCAGAGATTGCAGGGCCACAGGGGCAGTTTCAAGCGTTCAACCAGAGTTCCTTGAACGTGCAAGCGGTCAACGACCGTACAGTATTCAACAGCACTACGCAGATGAATCTCCTGATGGCCAAGCACGAGGCTTTGCTACAGGCGACGCAGCCTGCGTCGACAGCAGTTGTCCTGGCATCGGCAGCAGCAAACATTACACCAGCAGCAGCTTCAGCATTCGTGCCCAGGCAGCGCTCCAGCGAGCCGCGGAGGCGCCACGCGAGCCGTTCAGCAAGCTCACACTCACCGTCGTCAAGAGAGAGAAGAGGGCCAAGGTCACCGCCAGCGGGGAAGGGGGCAATAGACAGCCCCGTGGAGCCGGCCGCTGCTCCTACATCTCCAGGCGACGTGGAGGGGCATTAACAAGACAGCCCACCCCGTGTGCCAGCGCGCGGCGCGGGGACGGTGCCAGGCCTCACGCGCCTCCTACGCATGAGTTCACGACCTTTGGCCTCGACGCCTGCATCATCAGAGCCAAATCCGTGAGCAGTCCCAACATCGCAGCAGAGTTGTTTCGCCCGTTGGGGAGTGCGCTTCATTTTGATTGGAGCAGCATCAGTGACTATCTGTTGCCATGCACGACGGATACCCTCTCGGCCGCGCGTTCCCCACCTTCATGTCTCCAGCAAGGCAAGCCTTTCCGAATTCACGCGGATGGGACTGGCGGTCTCTCCACAGAGTCTGCTCCGCCAGCATGGGCAGCGGCTGTCTTTGCGTCTACGCATGGTGTCTGCGAGCCACTTGTTGTGCTGCTGTGCTGGTGCCATCGACCCAGAGCCCATGGGCTTGTCTACTGGTCAAGTTCGCCTGGCAGCGGAGTGCCTTGGGCTGATGTGGCCGACTTCTGTGACTCTGTTTACAAGCTGCGTTTGCTCGCGCGACTTTCTTCCTCGACGACCTTGCCGTCCTCAGCTCTGCTCCTGGGCAATGGGGCCCTCCTGTCTTGGGCTGGCATTCGAACGCCATGTGAGCCCTCGCTTTGGCAGGGGAAACGGTAAGCGGTTCGGTGTTTGCCTGCGTGAAGGCCCGCGGCGAGGACCCCGCCAACGAGCTCGTAGTCCTTCTTGCTGCGTTGGCCTCGCTGGGTTTCGCGGGGGGGCCCCATCGGTGCCCGTGGGGTTCCTTTTCTGAGGGGTCCGAGTTCGGCTTCTTGGCCATGGCTCACTGCAATATCCCATCGAGTTCGTTTGCCGTTCTCCCTTGTCTCTCCAATAGAGTTTATTATCAAACCAGACGATGTGCCTGGGGCGCAGATTCCATCCTTGGTCAACACTTCTAGGTTTCACGGCGCCCCTCTCGGCGACGTCATCAGTCAGTACTTGAGGCCTACGCAGCCGCCGGCAGCCTGCAGCTCGCCGTCACGTTCGCCAATGCCTTGACCTTGCAGCAGACGAGGCGCGGCAGGCCTATGCTTGCGGGCCTCTGCGCAGCAGGGCGTCCCTGGCAGCTGGCGTCGCAGCTTCTGCGCGCCAAGCCGGGTGTCATCGGTTTGGCAGAGACGGGGATGCCGAGGCAGGGCTGGAGAGTGGTGAGTTCCCACTCGGCCATCCATGGCCCCCGTGCTCCTGCGGGCTTCTGTGGGTGCTCGATGTGGCTCGGGTAGAATATCCAATGGGTTCCTGGAGGACCCGATGCAGCAGTGTCTCGGCGCGACATTGTAGTCGCCGCGGCTGCGCTCGCACTCCTGTGAGTGACTGCGGAGGTTCATGTGCTCAACGTCGCGTCCGTCGTCGCTCCCGCCCCGCATTCCAAGTCGAGCTCGGGATCTCGCGCCACATGGCGGGGGGGGGTCCGAGGAGGAAGGCGCTGGAGGTCAGACAGTCGGCTTCGCGCGTCTTCTGGCTGTTGGGTGCGAGTGCGACGCGTGGCTCGATCGTGCCCCCACCTGTTGGTCCGTCGGCAGCAGCTGCGCAGAGTGACGACTTTGGAATGCTGCGCTCTGCGTTGCGCGCTACTGGCATGCAGGCGCCATCCACTTTCAAGGCGATCCTTTTGAAGAGGGGCTGCGTGGACTCTCGTTCGAGGCTTACTCTATATAGAAGGCTCGGCTACATTGCTGTCCCCCTGGCGCTTTTGTCTGCTACTTATGATTCGAGGGTTAATCGCGAGGTTGAATTGGCAGCATCCAGGCAAAACACTTCTTGGTGCAAGTGGTTGTTTCGCTTGTTGTCGGAGCTACTCGCGGCCCCCGTTCGTCGGCCACGAGGCATCGAATTTCCGAGAGCAAGCTCGCATATTCCAGTTGTCGCGTTGTTTTCTTTTTTATATTTGCGAGCGTGCCCCGCGCCTGCTTGGAATGTCGCCCTTACTATGCACTGCCAACTTGTTCATCGGCATGGGTTTCGGGGGATGGCTAGCTGCTTCAAGCAGGACGACAATGCGTCCTGCGGCGAGCATCCCGCAGAGACCCAGCGAGCGTTGCGCCAGCTTCGAGTGCACCGCCGAGGTTTCCGACGGGCGCTCGATCTTCTGGCAGCTGAGTGGTTGCGTGCATTGCTGGCTGTTTGATGGCGAGCGGCTGCGTCTCTACCCAAATCCACGGTGATTGCAGTTGGTTCTAGCTCCTACGTATTAGGAGCTGGTCCTGTGGGCATGGGGTGCCTGGGTGCGCTGGGATTCCCATGGGGACCGTGAAGACGATATTGTGGCATGCCGACCTAGTTTTGAAAGGTCCGATCAGCAGGCTGCGGCCATTGCGGTTTCGCTTCTCACATCTTCCATCAATGCTGCCGAGTAGCGTTTTTCCAATAAGGCTAGCAAGCGTAAGCAAGACACCGACAGCGATTTTAACCAGGCTCTGGCTGATGTAGCAGCTTATCCCTTCCTTGTTGGACGACCTAAAGAGGTGCTGCTCTCCCCGGACCCCTTGTCATAGCGCAGCGCGCTTGTTGCTATGCGCGCGCTACTTTGTTGCCTTCCAGTTTTTCGATGCTGCCCGGTTGCTCCACTTGCATGTGCGTGCCAATCTTGGGCCAGGGCTGATGCAGCGGAGAAGGTACAGCAACTTTCAGAAATTCTGTCGGATTCCTGGTCCGAGAAGCATGCCAAAGCAGTTTTTTTTGTATCTGGCGTTCGTTCCATGGAAGATGCAGGCAAGGAGCACGAACACGTTGAAGCCTTACCTGCCGTTGCTCTACCCGATGGAAGTGGCTGCTGCTGTCGACGAGGCTGCGCAGATCTTGACCAGCACCTTTGAGTGTTGTGGCATTGGCGAGGTGCGCGCGCTTTCCCTCATAGAGATTGACGTTTCCAGCATCCCTACTTTCATCGGTTTTGAAGGGTCCCTCAGGTCTACCAAAAGGGGTCTGCAGGACCAGGGTTTTCTTGTGGTTTTCGTGATATCTTTCGCGCCCATCATGGCGAACATGCATTGCCCTCTGGTGGTCAAGTCGGCCTTCCTGACGCGTGAGCCCGCCCGGTGGAAAGGAGGTGTTCTTCCGCGCGTGCCTAACGGAAAAAAGGGACTTATCGTTTGATAAGATCCATGCTCGTGGCCTCGCTCATCGGTAAAAAAGGTACCACTCATGCCTTCGAGGGTTGCTCCTGCCAGCTATGAAGCAAGCTGGCGCTGGCCATCAGTTTGCAGGAGTGGCTGGGCGCGGCACCCCCATGTTTACGCTAGCCGCCAGGGCGCTGCTCAGATGCCCTCCGCTGGAGCAGCAGTGCCTGGCAGGTCTTCTTGCGGGTGTAATGCATGCGTATTGTTCGGCTAT